ATTTGTCCGTGTGGTGGAACATGCTATTTTGCATCAAAAATAATGTTTAAATTTTTGTCTACTGTGTGAAATACATTAAGATTCCTAATATATCTCTTACAACTACACTATAATAGAGGAGTACATGTATTTCACATTCGAAACTACTCTCCCACAGCAGACAAAAAATGAAGCATTATTTTTTTTATAAAACAATTTATAAAGACCCAATACATCTATATCTCACTCATACCTTCAGAGTTACATTGAAAACATATGTAAATGTTATCATGTCACTATATTGTGCCATTAGAAAGTAAAAAAAGAAATGGTACATTTTAGAGTATGACACTCTGGCACTGTTTTACTCCTAGCATTATTATGCGTTAAAACACATTGCAAGGGGTAGGTTATTTTCTTTAGTATAACGAAACATGACTAAAAAAATAATTGTGAAGTTTCCTTAGTGTTTTTATGAAAAATAGCATGCTCCACCACAGTGGACAAATCTTTTAATCCCAACCTGCGTGTGAAGATCTCCCACAGGGCAAAGAATTTATATTTTCTGGAATAAAGTTTGGGATGTTTAGAAGGTATGTATGACAAGAAATGGTGCAAGTTTAAATTAAATTGTATTTTAAAATTGGAATGATCTTTTATAGATGTTGTTTGCTTGCTAGACCTGATTCTGCCTTTACACAATTGATTGTTTACATTGTCTGATCCACTCTGTTTTTTATCACAACATTCAGTTCCTGGATGACATATTGTTTATCCAGGGGCGCATGATAATATGCAACATTATACAGATATATTGAAATAGAAGGTACCCTTTTCAAGATTGATCCTCATCATCTCACTCTCGGCATTATTGAGTCTCGCAACTTGTCAAGCCAATCAGAACATGTTGTGCATCAGATATATTATTCTATGTGTAAACATAATTACATTGCATGCTCTGTAGTGTTCTCTAATTGGTTTAATGCTAATCTGCAAAATGATTGCTCCTCATCAGAGGGCTGTGTGCCAATTAAGCAGATGATTCCAGGGTAGCAAGAAGGTGCTCTAGAGCACGTAGTCATGATCAGAATTCACATTTTATTTTTTTGTCGAGACAGTCATGATAACCAACCATTGTATATTACACCATATAATTACATTTGAGAGTTATTGCTAAAGTTAGCATGTTCACCCATCAATATATATTTAATTACGTGTATCACATATTTTGTTTAAAGATTAACTTACAATTTTATATTTTTGATTATTCAGAGATGTATTTAGCCTAATAATGATTATATAAGTTAAGAGGTGTCCCGGGCAACATAGCAGTATTAAAATTCATCATAAAGTATTTTAAGTGTTTTTTTTATATTGCATATCATCGATTAATTCAATATAAATTATTTAATTCCTGCTTGATGATGAGCTAATTTGTGTCATCCTGTACATTGTATATATACAGGTTCGATAGAACTATTCATTTTTAAAGATTGGTCTGTATACTATATCAGGTTTGTTAAAAATTAAGGTAGGTAGAACAGCATGAGTAATCCTTTAAAAATATATATTTATGTAATATGTTTAGACCTAAAAGTCATTCTTCTTGGCCTACCTTATTTATCCTTTATGTTATCTGTGTATGACTGTCTGCTCTAGATTAAATGATCAATTTTTTATGAATTCAACCAATCAATAAACAGCCGCCCTATTTTGACAAGAAGTGTTACGAATAACAAGAATAACAATGTCGTTTGATTTGATAAAAATAACAAATGATGTCATGGTAACTTCTAGGAATATTCTCCCTGCTTTTGTAGCACACATACTTATCTAAACTGTTACAGCTTTATTAATACAAATACTATAACACTTGTAGACCCTATTAGCTTCAGATTAGATGCTCTACCACAGTTAGTACAGTAAAACCTCAAATGTTAAAGCATTGATCGGTCTGGCTCTGGAAGAAGTAAACTATATAACATTTATAATTCACGATGGATAATTTACATATTGACTACTTTCGAGATATGCTCTGCACTTAACTAAAACTTTACTATGACTGTACTTTTGTTCATTTCAATTCATTATGCCACCACCATAAGTGTTGACATATTGATATAGTCTCAAGCATTCAGCATCTGTAACAAATGGCAGGTGGTGACATTTTTCGTGTCAATACCTTGATATTATATTTCAGCGTCCCTGACATAATAATCGCAATATGATTTTCAATACTCCCATGGTGGCAGTTTCAGAGTTAGGGTATTTATACAGTTTTCAATACATGAAATAAAACAATTCCCTAAGCTACCCAGTTATGTTAGAAGATAAGTGTCTGGCTAAATTGATTATGGATATCATATGCAGAGACGTCATATGCAGAGATGTCATATGCAGAGATGTCATACTTGATAGGTTTCACTGTATTAATTAAAGTAATGTCTATTTAATTCCTTTTTTTGTTCAATTCAATTTATTTTTATCGTTCAATCACTCAGACATAAAAGTATTCAATATTCTCCGTAGTCTCAATGTTGAAGGATTAGCATATTTATGATTAATGCATTTATAGTTTTAAACACATATGCTACATTTTGCTGGTATTATTAACTCATTCAATACTTGGCCAAAAACCACTAAAATACTGACGAATTTTTGAAAATTGCCATATATGGTACCTCTGAAATAATATATGTAGTGTATACATTGGCATACATATAGTGTTATATATCATTTTAAAGCATATGCTATACTCTTTAAAAATGAACAGGTTTTTAAGTCCCATTTTAGGGGATGTCATGGTTACAAGATTCCAAAAAATACATTGAGTTTGTGCTTGGACGTGATATCACCTCCTCAGTAGTCAACGTATGTGCTTTATGACGTCATATCACGTCCTTCGTAGCGAATGAGTTAATGAACATATTATTGTCTATGAACTAGCATTATGTTCATGTCACTACTTGAAATATTTCAAAATGTTTAAGTTGCTGGGGGCCATAAACAGAAACTTGGTAAAGTTAAGAATTTGTAAAATCCATTGTTCTCTAACTGTGACATCATTATATCCATGGTTACAACAATTGATTTACGAATTCGTAACTTTGCGAAGTTTCTGTTAATGATCACCTGATTATTACTGTATTCCTATTACATACCATGTCAAATCGATCCTTAGTCAAAATTTGATCAAAATGTTCATAACCCCCTCCCAAAATGATTTTTTTTTCTCAAATATCAATATTTTGATACCATCCCTATTATTACTAATGTGACGCCTCCATTACCTTCGATTCAGAATTATTCTGAGTTATACTTTATATCAAGGTTTCTTCTCTTTATTAAGAGTGAGTGAAGTGTCAGATTTTCTGCCAGTTCTGTACAATTAAGAATCCCAGAGCAACCTCTACTCATTCATTCACTTATTCATTTCATCTTTCTTCCATTCATTCACCCAATTGTCCATTTATCATCATCCCCTTTATACCTTGGACCTTTTACTTGTTCATGTTTTTGTCTTTTTACTATATTTGATATTGCGTTTACTTTATATTGCTCTTTTCTTTTTTCTATTCATATTACACTTATTTGATATTATATTTTCTAATGCTCATGCATACATGTACAACCTAGTGGGTCATTATAATCAATGTATTTTCATTTTCAGTCTGCATGCAGTGCATTATACATATTTTTTACATAATTAGGATAATAATGTACATGCATATGTTTGAGATTACACACACATGTTCTATACTTATTTGGAATTGCATGTATTTAGCATTGCACATATTTTGCATTGCACATACTTAGTAATGTATATATTTTGGAATTGCATATATCTGGGATTGTACATATTTGGCATTGCATATACAGTAAAACCTGTCCGATGGAATACCTCTCTGTAGGGAAAACCTATGAACAAGGAATGCTTTTCAGAAGAACCAAATATTTTTCCATTGACTTACATGTTAACGGACCCTCTCTGTAGGGAAAACCTGTGAACAGGGAACAAGGAACACTATTTTGGTGCAAATTATGAAAATTCACCTGTGAACAAGGAATATGGAATATTGGTGACACTGTATATTCCATTATTTTTCAGAGGTGTGAATGTCTTAAGCCAATATCTGATTCTAAAAAGCTTGGATTAATATGATTGAGATTAAGATAAGCCAATTGTTTACAAGATGTAGCATCCCACCCACTGTTAATTACCCTGATATATTTTAAAACTAATACTAATCTGTTTGTTACTAATTATCATGACACTAATTCTTCCTTTCAACAAACATAATTACATCAAATCAGTTGTGATAATCTAGGGATTGACACAATTGTTTTATGGAGATAACAGATAAGTACATGTGTCATGTTGAGCCAAATCTATCAATAATTACAACAACTAGGCATCATCATACACCAGCAGCAGCGGCTAAAATCAACATCGGGAGAAAGCTCCTTACCCTCAGCTAAAGGAGGGAGGTGGGAGACCTTCATACATCTTCCAAAATGTCACAACCAGGTCTAGCAACCAAGTATGGAGTCGGCATTGGTAAAATCAATAAATGCCCAAATATATACAAAAAATACTTATTCGGCAATTCTGAGTTTTCTGAAAGTGCGGCCCCTCTCTATAGGGAAAACCTCTGAACAAGGAAACTTTCCTCCAGTCCGAAGAGCATTCCCTGTTCGCAGGTTTTACTGTAATTAGTAATGCACATATTTGGTATTGTATATACTTGGTGTAGTACATATTTGGCATTGCATATACTTAATATTGCACATTGTTGGCGCTTGACATATTTTGTATTTACACCTGCTTGTACATATTTGGTATTGTATATACTTACTATTGTACATATTTGGCATTGCATTTACCTGGGATTTGTTCATATTTGGCATTGCATATACTTGGTATTGTACATATTTGGCTTTGCACATATTTAGTATTGCACATTTTTGGCATTGCATAACGTATTGCATTTGGCATTGCATATACTTTCTATTATACTTACTTGATATTGTAACAAAGTTGCATCCCCACATGATGCTCCACATCCATCCAAGTAGGAATATAACTGTAGTAAAGAGCTGTAATAATGCTATCCATGTATTCATCCACACTGCGTTCACTTTGTCTGTATGTTTCTGCCTGATAGGGCTCCCACAGAGCACTGTCAGGCCCGCCAAGAAAGTCCCTGAAATAAATAAGGTGGTTGAAATAAAATGAAACAGACAGAGATGGTTCCCACTGGGAAGGGTGGCAGGCTGTTTTCTGGCAAACGCAATGTATTGACTCTATGTGTCTAATAGGGCCTCGCATTTAACCTCACCTGAGGAAGTCAGTGAAAATATTTCTGTTCAGATAATGGATGATCACAAACCCCCTATACTTTCTATTCAATCAATTACTCTGATTTGACAATAAAAAAGCAGCCATGAAGGACTCTGAAATAAAAAGGTAGTGAGGGAATTGAGTCAATCCCACCAGGGAAAGAATAATGAAGAAACTTGATGAAATAACTAAACGAGGAAGAGACTGTTCATTGTGAGATTGTGATTTTTGATTGAATTTTTTGCTCTTGACGAGAGCTAATTTTGTTAATTCTTGGCATTGCTTGCTTGGTATTGCTGTTGATTTTGAGATATTGATTCTTTGGCATTGATTGCTCTTGATTTTGAGATTATATTTCTTTGGCAATATATGCTGTTGATTTTCTGGATTCATTTTTGGCATTGAATTCTGTCAATCATTTTAAATTGGTTATTTGACACTGCATCCATGCTTCTGATAGATGTTATGAGGAAAATTATCATTGAGTGATGGCTTTTGGACTGATGATTAGTTTGGACAAGTTCTAGATATCTATCAACTATGATCTATGGGAGCCCTAAGGGGAAATCTCCTCAGATGCTGTTTCTTGCACATAAATAGCAAAATATGTCTGATAACTGATAGGTTTATCCTTTAAAAATTTTACTGCTGTGTTTATCTTAGGATTACTGTTTAAAGGAATAAATCAAATGCTGTATTCAGATTAACTTTTGTATGTTACGATTTTTGTATGTGATGCAATGCAATGTGAATGTAAGATGTGATTAATGTTCTGCTTTTTCATGAGTTTCCATTCTTTATGATGGGAGAAGATGCGTGATATTTCATGTACAGGCCTTTCATATGTTTCTTTTGGCTCTATCAATCTTGACAAAATTAGATTTTCCAGAAATGAGTCAATTGGGTTTTGTAACTGCTTCCAGTATTTAATTCAAAATAAAATATTGTTTATTCTAACATTTCCTGGAATAAACTTTCATTTGTATGTTTGACTATTGCCCTTTGTCTAAATTACTCTTAATGAATGCATATAGCGTGAGGCTGACCTAGGAGAGGTGGCACCCTTGACCCTGGAGAACAAATTCTTAGGCATATATCTGTATATTTTGAAGTATAGATTCCTGAAGCTATCACTCTGGAGTATAGATTCTTAGGATTTGCACCCTGACACACAAATTCCTTTAGTGTACACTCTGGACATCCTTCCCCATTGGATGTTACATATATTTTCTCTCTATGTATTGTGAATTTTGTAAGAATGAGTATGAATGAGTACCATTTTTGGGACTGTCATTTGCTGTTGATGGTCATATTTTCCAGGCGCATATTTTGTTATTGTTTAAATCCCAATTTGACCGTTACTTTATGGCCAACTCATTGAAACATGAATATGAATAGTAGTAGGTAGTTTTCATATTTAAATGAATTGGCTATAAGATAGTGGTCAAATCATCAGCTGACAGCCAGCGGTTTAAATTCAGATCTGTTTTGGGCATGTTGGGTAATTTACAAGGAAGCGGTTTTACTCTGTTTTGTTTTTTCAAAAATGATGAATTTGATGATGAAATTAATGAACGATTGTTTCATGTAGATTGGCATAAAAATTGCACTCTTAGGATAGAGTTAGCCGTTAGATTGCCATTAGTCTGATCTTTTTTCATGAAAGAAAATGTACAAGACTAGAATCATCAACATGCTTTTTGAAATGATTGCTTTTAACATTTCACTAGTCTTTGGTGTCAAAATCAATTAGGTGTGAAATTTAGAATTTAGAGATAGCATCTAACTCAGAGTTAAATCTGTGCCCATATATAATATTAGTGTTTCTGAAATGGTCCAAGATTTAATATACGGCCCCTAACATTGTCTGAAATGATCCAAGATCTAATATACGGCCCCTGACATTTTGACTTTTTATTAAAAAGACAGTGCACCGATTAATATGTATCAAGAGAATTCCAGACAGGACCTACAGCAAAAAGCAATGAAGTTAATAGGATTCTTAATCCTACATTGTCTAGAAAAATAACACTGAGAATCTCAATTTGACAGCCGATCACAAATTGCTCCTTATTGCATATACATTTTAATCTGTCTGATGTGAACACAGTAAATACCAACTTATTGTTGAAATATGCTTCCATTTTTCAAAAGTGTTGAATCTTTTAATACAATCCAACAGGACATCCATATAATAGTTTTGAAGAAGTGATTGCATGTTGAGACACTATGTGAGAGGTACTAATGATATAAATACTTAGGTTTTAACAAGAGAGAAGCAGTAGTTCAGTGAGTAGAGGGCCCAACCAAAAAAAAACACATTTCCAAACATAAAATATGGATTTGAAGTATTTATAAGTGTCAATTTTTGCAATCAATATCTGCTCTCCTAGGAACTAATGAATTAATATTCTTGCTTGCTCAATATAGGAGAACCTAGCATTTACTCTTTGATAAATTCTCACGAGGTTAAGTTCATTCATGGTACATTATCCATAAAAATTGCACTCTTAGGATAGAGTTAGCCGTTAGATTGCCATTAGTCTGATCTTTTTTCATGAAAGAAAATGTACAAGACTAGAATCATCAACATGCTTTTTGAAATGATTGCTTTTAACATTTCACTAGTCTTTGGTGTCAAAATCAATTAGGTGTGAAATTTAGAATTTAGAGATAGCATCTAACTCAGAGTTAAATCTGTGCCCATATATAATATTAGTGTTTCTGAAATGGTCCAAGATTTAATATACGGCCCCTAACATTGTCTGAAATGATCCAAGATCTAATATACGGCCCCTGACATTTTGACTTTTTATTAAAAAGACAGTGCACCGATTAATATGTATCAAGAGAATTCCAGACAGGACCTACAGCAAAAAGCAATGAAGTTAATAGGATTCTTAATCCTACATTGTCTAGAAAAATAACACTGAGAATCTCAATTTGACAGCCGATCACAAATTGCTCCTTATTGCATATACATTTTAATCTGTCTGATGTGAACACAGTAAATACCAACTTATTGTTGAAATATGCTTCCATTTTTCAAAAGTGTTGAATCTTTTAATACAATCCAACAGGACATCCATATAATAGTTTTGAAGAAGTGATTGCATGTTGAGACACTATGTGAGAGGTACTAATGATATAAATACTTAGGTTTTAACAAGAGAGAAGCAGTAGTTCAGTGAGTAGAGGGCCCAACCAAAAAAAAACACATTTCCAAACATAAAATATGGATTTGAAGTATTTATAAGTGTCAATTTTTGCAATCAATATCTGCTCTCCTAGGAACTAATGAATTAATATTCTTGCTTGCTCAATATAGGAGAACCTAGCATTTACTCTTTGATAAATTCTCACGAGGTTAAGTTCATTCATGGTACATTATCCTGTAGATGGACTCAATGGAAACGACAGCTTCAACATTTTAGTTGTGAGCAATTTTGCATTATTTAATCAAAGTTTCAAACTAAATGTGATCGGGAAATGCCAATGGCCACTTTAAGAAAGGACCAGGTATGGTCAGACCATGATTTTGAGTCTTGTTTCAAGACTGTGGACACAACACTGGTGAAAAGAAGATGGGGGGGGGGGGGGTCCAGGGTCTTGTTTCAAGACTACATGATTTTAGACAGTTATTTCTTTAATCATGAATAATTTCTTGCCATGAATACATTTCTCTTCAAAATGAAATTTTTTCCAGGTGTGGATCTCAGCATAGTAAAATTATCAATCTGACTCTCCAAAAAACCATGAATTAGGACCATTTCTCAACATTTTTTTCAAAATATCTGACTGATATTCTTAAAAAGGATGTTGTTTTTTCTCATTTGTGTTGCATTCATAAATCATACAAGAAGAGATCTACATGTATACACAGCCAATATAATTCGACGCCGTTTCGGCATCGAAAAAATTCGGCACCGTTCCGGCACCGTTTCGACACCGTTCCGGCACCGAAACCTTTCGACACCAAAATTTGCTACCGGACTTAGTCAGTCCATTTGGTGCCGAAACGGCACCGAAATTTGGCACCGAAACGGCGTCGAAAATCAGATTGCATTTTGGGGGTGTATAGTACTAATTTCTTCAAAGGAAGAATGGCATTTGAGGCCTAATGTGGGCCGAGATATTAAATAATGGTGACCAAAATAAGTTGAAAACAATGGACTTATTGAGTTTTCTCTATGAAAAAAAAACATGGGACATGTTGTTTCCAACTTTAAATTTCAATTCCAATGCCAATGACAGAGCAGAAGAAGCTTTTGATGCAAAAATGAGAAAGGGAAGGTGTTCTTTTTAGAAAAAGCCTCACATTTTGAATATGTCAAGATGGGATCCTTACATGGTTTTTTGGACAGATGGATTGATATTTTTATTTTCCTGATAACTCTATGTTGAAGAGAACACATTATTTTAACTGTCTAAAAGCATTTGCCATATGATATGTGGTCTTTTGATAGGGAATGGTTGAAGTTTTAGTTAGAGGAACATCAAAGGTACATTAACAATGAACTCTGGGAAATCTCCTCCTTTGCTCTTGATGGAAGTCTGAGAGAAAGCTTTAAGATTTCATTTCCTTAGATTAACTGCAACAACCTGTTACTAAAGCAGCCTTAATGAAAGGGGATGGATATTGGACATGCCCCCTGCTAATGTAAAGGGATTGGGTGATGAATTATGGATGATCCAATGTCTAAACCAATCAACAACAACTTATTGCCACATTGATCTGAGTTGCATCATGAAAATTAATCGTATCAGGGTGTTAAAAACCAATGTTACTCATCTGTATTCCCATGCATTCTGAATGTATTGTTTTAAACGGGTAGCCAGAATTTAGCCAGACACTGTGTGAACATTGATGCCGGTGCTATTGACCAAATGAAAAATAGCCAATCCATTTCCTCTATACCCATTATGGTCAGTCAGAATTTGATAACACTGACACTATAAAGTATGATGATGGATGAAAACCTATTGCTTTATGCTTAATGAGCTGTTGTAATAATAAAAAATGACCCTTAACTAACGACGTGTCCCTATGGTCCCTGTTTTATTTATGGTAAAAGCCATGTATTTTAAATTACAAGCTGTACCAAGATTAAGAACTTCTTTCATTTGTCGATACAAAATATATACAGGGTGGGCCATTAGAATAGGACTCTCGAGTATATTCTATTTAAAGTATTTTTCATGAATCTAATTTCAAGAATAATGAATATTTTGAAATGATATATAATATACATGTAGTAAATAGTGTATTGCATTAAGTATAATATTTATGCATATAATATTCAACAAAAAAGACTGTAAGAGGCCAAAATAACTGAGCCTTTTACTTAGATTTCATTTTATATTTGCCAATGTCCCAAGTGTCTGCTGTCCTTAAGCTGTGAATTTTGCTAAAATATATGTCATTAAACTTGGATAACTTAATCATTTTAAGCAGTTTAAGGTCCCAAATGACCAATAACTCATGATACCATTATGAAAGTACATGACTTAAGTTCTGTGTGTCAAAAGTTGCTCAATAATCTGACTGACTTTCAAGAGTAAACATCTGAACAAAGACTCAAAAGAAATATGGGAAAAAATGGATAAAGGAAGGTGGATAAATCAAAAGAATAAAGTTGGATATAACTTTATGTATTGAGTAAAAGCAAAACAACTTTAATATATTGCATGCATGAATGTGTCAAGTTATATAGTTAGTATAGTTCTGAAGTTGTACAATTGATTGTAGAGGAATGCAAGGAAATCAGTGTCAGCTTAGCATGAAGGCCAATCAATTCAGCCAATAACTGACTCCAAGTGCCAGTGTTATTATAGAAGTAATATTGTAGAGCTAATAATGTGATTAGGTCTTTGATGATATTACATATGCTACTCCCTTGGATTATTGTTACATTTAAAGTATGCATTGTCACTCTTGAGTCCTACACCTTAAACACCAAGTGCACTTTGAGGGGGTCTATTCACAGGTGTAAAGCCACGATGATACCATGAGCACATGCTTTGAGGATCCGCGTTGTTTGAACCTACTGCCGAGTTCACTAATACATAAAGACCCCTTACACAGTCATGATACCGCCGAGCAAGCTCATTGTATCATCAGGTCTGCTTTACCCCCGTGCTATTGGTATAGGTTGTTAGCCCACCCTGAAACAGGTTATGAGAGCTCTAGAATTAAGGTTAGAAATGTCCATCTACTGCAGTGAAACCTGTAAAGTGGAACACCTCTAGAAGTGGGACATCTCTAGAAGTGGAACACTTTTCAGAGTACCAAGACCAGCTGACTTAATGTTAAATGAACTTTAGTGAGAAGAACACCTCCCAAGTGGAACACTTTTTAGAGGTAACAAAGGTGTTCCACTCAGACAGGTTTTACTGCAAATAATTTTACATCAGCAGTGATCACCCCATTGAAGCAAGTAGGCGCTGCACCCATTTGAAAATGAATACTAAAAATTGGCTTATCTGGACCAACTTTGTGAAAATTTGTGAAAATGGGAATTTTGCATCCAATTGATGACAAAATCCTGGGGAGAACACTGCAAATACATAGGGGCATCCACCTACCTAATCCTGGGACTAGAATATTACATATAAGGCAGATATATGCCACGGGTTTCCTCAGAGCTGGGATTGAGTCTTTGAGATTATATCCCCCATCATCATGTTGCTGTTGTGTTTCTGATGTTTTATGTACTGTCACAGCTGGTTGAGTTGGGTTTTTATAACCAGGCATAATGGGTTTACTATATCCCCTAAACATCCTTGGGCTCCTAGGGGTCCTGGGAGAGCCAAATGGAGATCGGTTCTGATGATCCCTCGGGGAGAGATTACGGGGATGTAGGCGAGGGGATGGCATCGGTGATGTCCCCCGATTATTACCACCTACTCTAGGACTGGCATACACAACTTGCATGTTTTTATCTTGATTTCCTCTCTCGTATTAAATATTAATTTTCATTTATTGTTGACATGCCAGAATAAAACACTTCCATTTCTATGGCTTTATTTAATTATAATCCTTGTCTCTAATAGGATATTTTCATGAATAGACACATAAAGAATCTCTTCAATGAATTAATTGTGTAATACTTTAATCCCCATTCTTCATCCTTCTTGGGAAATGGAAATCATTTTCTATTTAATCCAGGGTTTGAATCTTAATTTTTATCCATCCTTAGTCAAGTGTTATCCACTTTTAAGTGCTATTCTTTTATCTCATATTCCTTCCTCTCAAACATTTTACAAGTTTTAATCCAATTCCATTTATTCAGATTTTCCTAGCTAGGCCTGGTTAAGATTTAGACATGTTTCAATGAATGCAACAGAAACAATTCATCCTGAGATACGGCAAAAGGAAATCACACATGTTGTTCTTCATAAACAGTTACAGACGCAGAAATCCAACAGAAGAACAAATATCCAATAATGATCTATGCTGTGATACATATGTGAATGATAGTCTAACTGCATGTCTTGGAGAACCAGAGTAAGACTTAAATAATTAATGGATTGGAATTCTGTCTTCTATTCTTCTATATATACGGAGACTGTTGTAACCCTCTGCAGACCCTTCCAAAAATGTTCATATGCTTTTTATTGAATATGCCTGGATTGCGTGTAGTGCCCTTACAAGTTAAATGCATGTTTAGGTATGTTTTATGTATGGTCCTCTCAAAACCTACCTGTGTACTCAAACTTTTTTCTATTTTAAGATATTTGAATTTTAGAGTAAAAAAAGAATTAGAAAAAGCCTTGTCACATTGTCCCTTCTAAAAAATATTCCAACTAAACAGAATATTAACTTGTAAGGGCCTAATACTCAAATATAGATAGTACTAATATTTAGCTTTAATGTTTGCTTCTTGTTCAGGTGCTATATCTCTGCAAATATCTTTGATGAAGAAATCCATATCTGAGATTTTCTTAGATGGTTAAAAGCTGTATACAGCTCTTGGAACAGAATAAGTAAAAATGTATATTGAATGATCTTCTTGAAATAACCATGAATAATCATCACAGGCATTCAGAGCCACTTCACCTTTATGACATCATGTAATAAACTAGGCATAAACCAAGCAACAAATGTGCCCTGAACGTCTATTATACAGGCTCTCCATCTGTTTGATCGTACCATACCTCATGTATCTTAATCCTCATTGTGCCTTAGCTTGAGAGATATTTTTACCGTATGAGCCTCTATGGAAATCCTTCAAGGTTTATGATATCTCCAGACTCTTGTCAAAAAGATTTCCTGCTTGTCAGAAACGTTTTTAATTTGCTCAAATGTTATGTGCAAGATGTTCAGTATCCTTTCAAATCAATGTGTTATTAATTCATTTCATTAACATTTCTTTTATTGTTTGCTAAAACATATTCCAGAGGAAGTTGAGAGAAAAATGTGAATGAGTATCCGCAGGTTGTAATGCTGTTAAGTTCTGATGCAGGCAATAGGCTATTCTACAATGCAAATGTGTGATGTAATTTACACGGTATTGTATCAATACATCAGAACCTTCTTAATGAACACCTCTTCCTAACACCTTTTTATACTATTCAACACCTCTCAGGTTGAACTTGTAGAGAACACCTCCTTATAGTGAAATTGAGTGAATACCTCTCTATAAGAGTGCACACCTCTCTATTTTGCAGTTGGAAGAACTTCTCCATAGTGAACTTGAAAAACCCTCTATATTCGTTCAAGTAAAGACTTCTGTTGTAAACTCAAAAGAACACCTCTCTATTCTTCTAGAGTAATATTGTGAAAACAGTGAACTTGAAAACCCCACAATGTTCAAGTTAACACCTCTATTGTAAACTCAAAAGAATACCTCTACTGAATACTTCTCGAGTGATATTGTGAAAACAGTGAACTTGAAAACCTTACAATGTTCAAGTTAACACCTCTATTGTAAACTCAAAAGAACACCTCTCTATTCTTGTAGAGTAATATTGTGAAAACATAGTGAACTTGAAAACCCCACAATGTTCAAGTTAACACCTCTATTATAAACTCAAGAGAACACCTCTCTATTGAACACTTCGATAGTAATATTGGGAAAACACCCTCTTTTCAAGTAAACACCTCTATAGTGAACACAAAAGTGCACATATTCATATTGAAGTGATGCAGAATCATCCATATGCATAGTGAAAGCACTTGTTTGACAGGAATGATATTTCTCCATTTATTAATATCTAAATTCAACACTGGCTTATTGTCAGAAAAGGTGTTGTGAAAATGGGAAAGAAGACATGGTTTTATGTGTCTCTAACTTTGTTCAATAAATTATCGTCAATGCTTATCGCATTTCCATATTTATCAGCACCTGGATTTGATAGGAAAGTCTATAAATGTGTATTTTTGCATAATAAGTGTCAATTACCTACTTTGTATGTACCCTTTTCAATCATAAATTTCGGGTTCTTTAAAAGAGAGCTTCATCTTTGTTCTTTAATAAGAGATACTCCTTTGGTACATTCCCTCATCCAATCAGAATAGGTCATCAAAATCCAGCTACCCAATCCGAATTGCCCTTATGAGTCATAGGGACCATACCAATTCAGTGCATGGTGCAATGAGTGGTTAAGAAAAATGGAATATCAGACGGATTTTTGAAAAGATGTATCCTACTTTATACGCTTTTTTTTATATGTGTCTGTTTGAGCATCTTAAATACTGCAGTGAGCTGTGGTTTTCATGCATTTCTGTACAATGGATTTTCAGAGTTTTTCAGCATTTCATAATTCACTGGTCTTTGCTCATGTCAACATCAAAATTAATAATTTAAAAACATCCTTTGTGACTGAATCTGTGCAATGAATAATAGTGCCGGTATGGTGCCACACAGGTATTTTACCTGCGCTGATACCCTACCACTAAGAAATATGATATTTCCCCACATAATTTCTTTTTACTAGCACAATTTGGAGAGCTCCACAAAGTTATCTCAATGAGCTAATGGAAAATCATAAAAGGATTACAGCATGGCAAAATGAGGTCTTCTATTGTTACAAAGCTATTTGATCATCGATCATTTTCTGATAAAGCTAAGACTTTATTTTATACTCAAAATGATTTATTTTCAAAAATAGTGTATTGTATAATAAATACAATAAATGTATTAATTGTGTATTAGAAAATTAATGCTTGGAGTTTTTAATAGATTATTTACTACTTATGTCATACTAAGGTAGAGATACATAAAATAGGATGTCAAAAATAGAAAACAGATGATTCAAGGTAAGACATTGTTATGGATTTAAAAATGCATACATTGATTGTGTATTGCTTTAAAATGCATATGTTGGAGTTATATTGCCTTAAAATGCATATGTTGAAGTTATATTGCTTTAAAATATATATGTTGAAGTTATATTGCTTTAGAAATGTATATGTTGAAGTTATATTGCTTTAGAAATGCATATGTTGAAGTTATATTGCTTTTGAAATGCTTATGTTGAAGTTATATTGCTTTTGAAATGCTTATGTTGAAGTTATATTGCTTTAGAAATGCATATGTTGAAGTTATATTGCTTTAGAAATGCTTATGTTGAAGTTATATTGCTTTAGAAATGCATATATTGAAGGTATAGTGCTTAAGAAATTCTTTAATTTGAAGATATATTGCTTTATAAATTCATAAGTTGAAAGTGTGTTAATTTAAAAATGCTTTAAGTTGATGGCATATTGCTTTAGAAGTTGAAGGTATATTGGTTTAGAATTTCATAATTTGAAGTTGTGTCGCTTTAAATATTCTGAAGTTGGAGGCACAGAAAAGGTTCTGTTCCATCTAAAGAAGACTATCTTGATTGGTATTATCACAATGCTAAATAATGCTGCTCTAAGAGATTTCTTCTATAATCATATAGTAATTTCACATATGGCCACAGAATTCTTTAAATGATGTCATTTAGAACCAGATGAATATAGAGGTTTCAAAACAAAGACTTTTGCTTAATATTATCAGTCAAGACCAAAATGTTAACTTAAGAAAGGAGACACGCATAAATGAATCTTAGTATTTTACGTTCACCATGTACTTTTTAGCTCACATGGTGAGCTATTTTACCGCCCACTTGTCTGTCTGTCCGTCCCTCCGTCAACACATTGGCAGCTAATTCAAAATTCTCCTCGACAATTGGAATGGTTTCACTTTTAAAATATGTCTATATAAGGTTGTCAATTTTTCCATAAGTGGGGTCTCAAAAGCTCGCCTTATATCAAATTGGCAGCCATTTTTATGGCGTAAAAATCAGGTTTTCAGCTCTTTTTTTTGGTTATAACTCCACAGGTTTTCCACCAATTTGCTTGAAACTGTACAGGTACTTTAATTTATAGGTTATCAATAAGTCATACAAGTTTCGCCAAAATAAGTCGCTAAGATTCAAAATGACTGCCACTTTTATTGCGGAAAAATCAGGTTTTCAGCTTGTCTTTGGTCATAACCCTTTATTTCTAGATTATCAACAATCTCTACAAGTTTCAGCAAAATATGTCGCAAAAATTAAAAATGGCTGCCACTCTTATTGCAGAAAAATCACTCCTTTAGCTCTTTTTTATCATAACTTGAAATTGTACAGGTACCTTAATTTATAGGTTGTCAATAGTTTGTTTACTTTGTTTTAGGCAAAATATATTACGAATTTCAAAATGGTCGCCACTTTTATTGCATAAAAATCATGTATAAAGCTACCTTTTAGTGTGCTTGTGAAATTCCTCTGTTCCAACTTCATTATAGAAAATGGTATTTTCATTCAGCTAGCCAAGTACTTTTACAAAATTATTATCAACCTTTCATAATGTGCAGAAAAACTACTGTAAAACATTTAAAATATTGAAACCTTCCCATGTGAGCGCAGTACCCATGGTATTATTCATTTCTTTGGAGACATACACAGTGTAACTTTCAAATAATCATCTGATAAGGTGAATATGATTATGATTTGCTCGGCATTCTTGTAGTGTGTTCATTTTGTTTCATGATACTGGCAGTTCCCTATGAAAAATTGATGATGCTTTTATCAAAATTGATTATCATATAAAAAGTATGATCATGATGCAGAACAGAACCCAAAAGGAACAAGTTATTGTCATCTAAAGCCTGATTAAAGTGTCTTCTTATTGCAATCCTCCGAATATGTCTCAGTGACCTTCTGTGAGATATTTGGTCTCTTCACTAAAGACAGTTCAAGAAGTGGAGAAATCGCGAATCTTAAATACTGCAGTGAGCTGTGGTTTTCATGCATTTCTGTACAATGGATTTTCAGAGTTTTTCAGCATTTCATAATTCACTGGTCTTTGCTCATGTCAACATCAAAATTAATAATTTAAAAACATCCTTTGTGACTGAATCTGTGCAATGAATAATAGTGCCGGTATGGTGCCACACAGGTATTTTACCTGCGCTGATACCCTACCACTAAGAAATATGATATTTCCCCACATAATTTCTTTTTACTAGCACAATTTGGAGAGCTCCACAAAGTTATCTCAATGAGCTAATGGAAAATCATAAAAGGATTACAGCATGGCAAAATGAGGTCTTCTATTGTTACAAAGCTATTTGATCATCGATCATTTTCTGATAAAGCTAAGACTTTATTTTATACTCAAAATGATTTATTTTCAAAAATAGTGTATTGTATAATAAATACAATAAATGTATTAATTGTGTATTAGAAAATTAATGCTTGGAGTTTTTAATAGATTATTTACTACTTATGTCATACTAAGGTAGAGATACATAAAATAGGATGTCAAAAATAGAAAACAGATGATTCAAGGTAAGACATTGTTATGGATTTAAAAATGCATACATTGATTGTGTATTGCTTTAAAATGCATATGTTGGAGTTATATTGCCTTAAAATGCATATGTTGAAGTTATATTGCTTTAAAATATATATGTTGAAGTTATATTGCTTTAGAAATGTATATGTTGAAGTTATATTGCTTTAGAAATGCATATGTTGAAGTTATATTGCTTTTGAAATGCTTATGTTGAAGTTATATTGCTTTTGAAATGCTTATGTTGAAGTTATATTGCTTTAGAAATGCATATGTTGAAGTTATATTGCTTTAGAAATGCTTATGTTGAAGTTATATTGCTTTAGAAATGCATATATTGAAGGTATAGTGCTTAAGAAATTCTTTAATTTGAAGATGTATTGCTTTATAAATTCATAAGTTGAAAGTGTGTTAATTTAAAAATGCTTTAAGTTGATGGCATATTGCTTTAGAAGTTGAAGGTATATTGGTTTAGAATTTCATAATTTGAAGTTGTGTCGCTTTAAATATTCTGAAGTTGGAGGCACAGAAAAGGTTCTGTTCCATCTAAAGAAGACTATCTTGATTGGTATTATCACAATGCTAAATAATGCTGCTCTAGGAGATTTCTTCTATAATCATATAGTAATTTCACATATGGCCACAGAATTCTTTAAATGATGTCATTTAGAACCAGATGAATATAGAGGTTTCAAAACAAAGACTTTTGCTTAATATTATCAGTCAAGACCAAAATGTTAACTTAAGAAAGGAGACACCCATAAATGAATCTTAGTATTTTACGTTCACCATGTACTTTTTAGCTCACATGGTGAGCTATTTTACCGCCCACTTGTCTGTCTGTCCGTCCCTCCGTCAACACATTGGCAGCTAATTCAAAATTCTCCTCGACAATTGGAATGGTTTCACTTTTAAAATATGTCTATATAAGGTTGTCAATTTTTCCATAAGTGGGGTCTCAAAAGCTCGCCTTATATCAAATTGGCAGCCATTTTTATGGCGTAAAAATCAGGTTTTCAGCTCTTTTTTTTGGTTATAACTCCACAGGTTTTCCACCAATTTGCTTGAAACTGTACAGGTACTTTAATTTATAGGTTATCAATAAGTCATACAAGTTTCGCCAAAATAAGTCGCTAAGATTCAAAATGACTGCCACTTTTATTGCGGAAAAATCAGGTTTTCAGCTTGTCTTTGGTCATAACCCTTTATTTCTAGATTATCAACAATCTCTACAAGTTTCAGCAAAATATGTCGCAAAAATTAAAAATGGCTGCCACTCTTATTGCAGAAAAATCACTCCTTTAGCTCTTTTTTATCATAACTTGAAATTGTACAGGTACCTTAATTTATAGGTTGTCAATAGTTTGTTTACTTTGTTTTAGGCAAAATATATTACGAATTTCAAAATGGTCGCCACTTTTATTGCATAAAAATCATGTATAAAGCTACCTTTTAGTGTGCTTGTGAAATTCCTCTGTTCCAACTTCATTATAGAAAATGGTATTTTCATTCAGCTAGCCAAGTACTTTTACAAAATTATTATCAACCTTTCATAATGTGCAGAAAAACTACTGTAAAACATTTAAAATATTGAAACCTTCCCATGTGAGCGCAGTACCCATGGTATTATTCATTTCTTTGGAGACATACACAGTGTAACTTTCAAATAATCATCTGATAAGGTGAATATGATTATGATTTGCTCGGCATTCTTGTAGTGTGTTCATTTTGTTTCATGATACTGGCAGTTCCCTATGAAAAATTGATGATGCTTTTATCAAAATTGATTATCATATAAAAAGTATGATCATGATGCAGAACAGAACCCAAAAGGAACAAGTTATTGTCATCTAAAGCCTGATTAAAGTGTCTTCTTATTGCAATCCTCCGAATATGTCTCAGTGACCTTCTGTGAGATATTTGGTCTCTTCACTAAAGACAGTTCAAGAAGTGGAGAAATCGCGAAAATAAAAAGACAATTACTTCTTTTTAAGAAGAGTAAAAGTGTGAGTTGGATATATCTAAAATTAGATGTCTGTTAGAATCAACCAAAAGCATGTTAGCTTAGTCTTGCGATTAAATAATCTTTATATGCACAGGCTGGTATCAAAAGATTTGTTGTTATTTTTTGTCCGCTGTTACGGAGCAGTTTCACAGTTTACAGTTGCAACTGCTCTGTCACAGCGGACAAAAAATTTAAACAGTGTTTTTATAAAAGAATTAAAAAGACCAAATACATCAACATCTCAAGAATACCTTCATAGTTATGCTGAAAACATATGTAAATATTATCGTGTCACGATATAGTGCGATTAAAAAGTTAAACAAGAAATGGTACATTTTGGAGTATGATACTCTGGTGCCATTTTCAATAGCTTTTCCTCCCAGCGTTATTGGACTTTAAACAGAAGTGAAAATTACCCATCCATTGTATGGAGTAAGTAGTTTTCTTTGGTATAACGAAACATGTGAGTTCCAAATAAATTGTGTGGTTTTCTTAGTGTTTTATGAAAAATAACATGCTCCATCACAACGGACAAATCTTTCGATACCAGCCTGTGACTAGCAACTAGTAAAAACCTTTTGTATTTTATGCCATTAAATATTTATGTTTGGGGTACAGATGCAAGAGCAGACTAGTGTAGGGAAAAACCAAATGAGATTTTATGCTTTAAATGACACGATAGCTGTTTTGAATATTTCATATTTACATTTAATTGGGATTCAAGAAAATCTGCTCATCAGATTATCTAGGGTTTGTTTTTCATCCTAAGATTAACTTCAAATGTACAGATTGTTTGATGGTTTCTAGTTTTATCATGAGCTTAATTACTTTGCGCAGCCATCTTGAATTTTGGCAGCTGATTGTTTTATATTTTTTTGCAATTGCAGATGTGCACTCAGGATTGCTCAGGTAACTCAAGAGTTGTAGCATACTCAAAGGTTATGCTAAACATTCTAAACTCAAGTTACATACTCAGGAGTTATAAATCTGGTGTTTAGTCAGAAATATATTTCAAAGTGAAATAATTATTATTTGTTAAGTGACTATTTGCATGCTACCTTAGCAACTAATTAAGTAAATATATGTCTAAAGTGTTAACTATTGCAAGGTGATCAGTTCTCAGAGGATTAGTGGGTACAAAAGTGTCATTTTTAGTATTTGACCAATATTGGTCAAACTGTCAAGTATGAAATAGATTTTTAGGTAGGTACAGTACAAGCCTCATTATAAAATCCCATGGGGAAGCAGGGCCCATTTTAATATCACCATAACATGTAGTTGTAGTCTCGAACTTTTTTGTGGCTGTAGTTGGTGTTTGGCATTCGGTGGTTGGTGTTTGGTGTCTGCAGCAAATGGAAGGTGGTGACATTTTGTGTGTTGATGCATTGTCTTGAATGCTAGGCAAATTATTGGTACAAGGGTTAAGGTTATGGTTAATTACCTTTGTAATTATACCATAAGTCAGATCCTGATAACCACTACAGTGAGCTATAGGATCACATACATATAGAGCTTTAAGACGATCGAGACTTGATGTCATTTGTATAATGTAACGGCCAGGCTACACAATCAGCCTGTCAGATGTACAAGCATCCTAATTAATACATACAGTAATTTTCCATCAAAGAGATTCCCTGAACAGAATATTGCGATAATCCTCCTATCTGTTATTAACATTGTCACAATTGTTGTTTCACATTGAATGTCCTTAGAAATTACAGTGAAACATGCGTTTAGTGAACATATTGGTGTAATAGGATTTATTCAATATACCAAAATACATCATAACAAAGGGCAATTATTCCAAAAAGACTGAATGGAAATGGAATTTTTGTTTTTTGGGAGGGTATGGTTTTCATAAAAAAAAAAAAAAAATTTGAAATTGAGATGAATCCAATATACAGATACACATAATGAGTTTATACAAGTATCTTATCCGAAGCAAGAATAAAACTTAATTAAAAATGAGTATGACTGTGTGTTGTTTGCCTAATTTACAGGAAGTGTGATTAAAAGAACCACTTGAGTGATTCATTAATTTAATCATTTATTGATATTGATTCATGTATTGAAAAGTAACTTGATTTATTGGTTATTAATTATTGCAGCTTATTGTTAGATATATTTAATATGTGGGCACATAATACCCACAATTGATTGCAAATAATTGTTTGAGCCACCATAGATTGAACCCGTCTGCAATGCTGTATGTTTAAAAATCGTGTACATGTAACTTAAAGAGCCACTATCAGTTTCAGGAGTCAGTCAGAGTACCCCTTGATAATTTTACATTAAGGAGGTTGGAAATCATGTTAATTTATCTATTACATAGCAAACTGTCCAGTTTAGACTCATAGCAGTAAGTCGGACAAAACAAGTAGAGAGATGAGGGTATGATTACTGCAAGAATATTCGACAAATCTGCAAGATTTATTTTTTGCTTGGATATAGAGAACGCCTCCATCCGTCCATCTGTCTGTCCGGCAATTACACAAATACTGTTGGCCCAATATTTATATACCTATATGCCCTATGTGAGTACAAGTTCTGCTGATGGTTTCTTCCTTTGGACTGTGCATGGTGTTTCTGTTTGTTAAGTAACAAACATTCATAATTATTATCTATATAGCAATATAAGGCTTTATTAACAGATGACCTGTATAAATCGTGATGAATATAAATCTGTATAAATCATGTTTAATATAAATCTGTACACAATATTGCATAGAACTGTGGTTTTATACAAATCAAGCCCGGCCATTGTTCTCACATTGCTCGAGGGCTTGTACATTATCACCTTTTAATGGTTCATAGCCACCATAGTGTTGCTGCCTAGTACATCTTCGTCTTACTTGTTCAGATAGCATCAACACACTATGGAATCGGAAGTAAATAGCCATGGTGTAAGTTAAGTGAACTATAACGAGCCAGTTTTCCTCACCAAAGTAGTGTTCTTGAACTGGTGAGGCATCTGGGAACTTTACCTCAACAACACTGTCTGCTAACCAGTGACCAAAGTTCAGGATCAGTATGAACCCTAGACACTCAGATAACCAATTATCAATGGGACCTGTATAGAAACTGGTCAAGAGAATGATAAGGTAGACTTGTAGAATCACTTGAATAAGAGTCGAAGTCTGCCACACCAGGCTTAAGGCACTGATAATCTGAATGCTTTCTTGGAAAGTGTTACAGTTGTACATCAATATGGAAAGGACAGATATAAAGGTGAATGCAACATCAAAGCCAAGACCGAGTGATGAGATTAACATGATGACACATTCAGTGTCTATGTTGCCGTATCGCTTCATTTGCCCAGACTTTGTCAGTTTGTGCAATACATATGCACAAGCTATTGCAAGCACTGGGTCATAGAGTGTTTTAATTACAGAAATGATAAGGATTGCTTTGTTGTAGAATGTTTGAACATATAAAAGACACTCAAATGTAAACATCAGAGTCATGAACAGGATTCCAATTATCCATAATAGTCCATAGCAGTTCATTTGATGCCCTTGTTGAGGGAGAGCATCATTTCCACCAATTACATCATTGTTTTCATTCACTTCATTGTCTTCAACATTATTTCTACCAATCAGGGCATTTTTTCTATTCACATCATCATTTGGACCACCATCACCAATATCATCAGGAAAGTCAATAATTTCAGCATACATGTTCATACGACTGTGCTTTATTTGAGACCAAATATGGAGAAGTAAACTGGATGCTAGGACACAGAACTCCATCTGAACAGGGTAGATATAAATCTCTACGGTGTCTGCTGTTCTCTGCATAGTATTCTCCTCATGCAGACATTCATTCGCATGTTTCTGTATAGCAGGGTCTAGCATTGTTATGTTGTAGCCAAAGTCCTTACCCGGAAATATATTTTTTGATTCAAACAAAAATGAATATATCCACAAGAACAAGTTTGTTCCTGATGCGAATATAAATACTGAGGCTTTTTTAATGTTTGGATTGTTCTGAATGTTGCCATAGTTACACCACATCAAAAACAACAGCTGCGATGGCATGTAAAGTAGAGATTTGAAGATCAACAATACAATATCAATTACTTTTTCCTCATTTAGTTCCTTAAAATGTTGATAAACATCAAGACATTCAGTTGTAGCAATGATTCGAAATATATCATTGATGAATGTCCCAACAAGGAATACAATTAGGCAAATTATTGCTATTCCGTGTGTATCAGAGAGTCTCCAGGGAACATACCTCCATTGTAGCTTATTCACTCTAGTAAATGCAAACAAAAATATAACTGTTGATACCTGTAGAGTCAACAACAATACTAACATGATAGTCTCAGTTACCCCATGTGATTTATTGATGGTGATCCAGCGAGATAGTCCAATAGTTCCAAGAATGGCCAGAAACACTGCCATTAGTATGTAATTCAAAGCAGTCCGTTTAGATTGAGCCATGTCTCCTAGAAATATAAAAATGACCTATGTGGCTACTCATAAATTGTCTTCAACTCTTTTAAATGTCCTGTTAACTTTGAATGCCTATATCTGGTACACTCTACTCCCAGACTCTAAATTGGTGCCTAGTAAGTTGTTGAATAAAATCAACAGAAATATATCAAATTACAAATATACCATGTTGACTCATCAACCATCTTCCTCATTCTTTGAAATTCAAAAAGAAAGCAAAACACACATGTGTAATGTATGGCTGTATAGTCACAGATTGAACAGATTGTGTAGCATGGGAACATTTTTTTAACTGAGTGTATTTGTTTAACACAATGTTCAATACTTAATATAATGCTGATCTTTAAAAAAATAGGAACTTTTTCTTTTTTGCATATGATTTAATCCCACCAAACAATGTTTGGTAGGGATGTAGAAAAGCTGTCTCCCTGGCTGTTCGTCTGTTTGTAATAATAAAAGTGTTATATCTGTTAACTTAACAGATTTCACGATACCATGCACCCATTCATTTAGCAATTTATTTGTGAACTTTTTCACAAAAAATAAATCTTGTTGAATTTTCTAGCAGAAGTCATACCCAACCCCTCTCCACTCATTTTGTCCATTTTATGGGCATATCCTAAGTTTATGGTATGAATTATCTTACAATTGTTACCAACTTTTAAATGAAATAAGTTATGCTTCAAAGTTTGTCATCTGTAACAATTGTTGAACTTCTAACTGTCATCACATGTAGCACAGTCAAGTTTTAACAGATTTCTGGCAATATATGTTACCATAGCAACAAATTATCTATAAGGACTAACAGGCTCTTAGAAACAGTTCGAACCAATTCAAAGGGTGTTCAATATATACAGATTTACTGTACTTGACATAATCTGAATTCAGCATGCATATTTGGTATTGTAATGTTGCCTCATCCGGCTTTATCCTGATATTGTTTAATTAACAGATATAGTGTGTTATATTAGGTTCGACATGCCATGAATAATACAATTGAAATCTGAGGAATATTACAATTACTAATTGTAATATCACTGGCTAACTTGTTTACAATTCCCAGTATTAACAATCCATTGATGTATAATCAACAACACATCCTTTTCTCCATTGACGTCAGTCTCATCTGTCTTGATTTCCCAATGTGATTATATCTTACGGATATCGTTGTTTGTCATATCAATCATATCATTAATCTACAAGGATAACACATTTAGTGGTAGATGGACTATTATTTCAATGGATATGATGCTAATAAACATGACAACAAAAATAACTAAAAATTTATCTTTTTTCTATAAAGTTCACTGGGCTTATACATGTACATGATGAAACTGCACAATGAGTATGCTTTATATCAACATACATATCAAACCCATATTGCCAGTATATTTTATTTGTTTAGCATAGATCTATATCCAATTTATTCATATAGATATAATATAAACTTATCATCAGTTAAATTTTGTCATTCGCTTTTGTTGTCAGTCACTCGTTATCATCACTATAACTTCAGTTTGACATTACAATTTGTATTCTAAAACAACTGAAACATTGCTCACTTTAATTATTATCCCATCAAACGAAGTTTGGAGGGATATAGGGAAAGCTTCCGTCCGTCCGGGCAATAACTCAAATACCGTTGGCCCGATTTTGTTCATATTTTGTATACATATACCCCATGGGATATACCCCATGGGGGTAGAAGTTCTGCTTAAAAGCCGATTTTCAAAATGGCCGCTCATTTAAAAATGGCGGCCATTTTAGTGCTGATTTTACAGTAATTTAGGTGCAATATGTTAAACTGTAAAAGTAATATGTTTTAAACGTAAAAAGATTATATAGGACATTAATAAAGCTAGAAATATGGCTATGGCTCAGTGGCAGAGTCAAGGTTATCAATATCGCTTGGTGATAATTTGGCAACACAATTGCAATTTTCCCCCAAAACATTTCTCAGATTTTAAACTTTCCAGATGTACTGAACTATAGTTAACAGATTTGTGAGCCGTTTAAACAATGATTGTGTTGCAAAACTATATACTCCTGTCTGCATATGATAATTTTGGTACATTCATTTATCATTGTTTGTCTTGTTTAACCATTGAAATGCAACATGAGGAAAACTCCATTACCAGAGGGAAATCAGTGGAATGTTTTGTAGCATTATAGTAGTTTTCTTGCATTTCTGAGGCCTGTATAATTAATCATCCGTTTAGTACATATTAAAGGTGGAATAACAGGAATTAACCCATTTAAGGTAGCTCAAGTAGAATAAGTAATCGAACAGTATCCCATTAGGACTTTTTAATAGGTAATATATATTGATTGTTGATATATTTAGAACTTTACTAGGATATAAGATTTTTTTATTGCACAGGAGTGCATTGTAGTCTAGTATAGCATAGTATTTCAGAGTAAGGGTAAGTGTTCATTTGTCGAAACATATAGAAAACAAATTTGATTTAATTTAGTCCCATCTCTGATTTAATGAAATATGAGTGTTGATTTGATTATTACTTTTTAAAGATCATCATTATTTTATAAGTGGAGGTACTTTTGTTTTGTACAACTGTTAAGATTTGGACATCATCTCGTAATGAATATAGAGTATGGTTGATAAATATAAAATATATATTACATATTTTGAGAAACATGCAATTTACTCATAGAAGCCTAAACACAGGTAAGCCTTTCTCAGATTTTAAACTTTCCAGATGTATTGAACTATAGTTAACAGATTTGTGAGTAGTTAAACAATGATTGTGTTGCAAAACTATATACTCCTGTCTGCATATGATCATTTTGGTACATTCATTTATCATTGTTTGTCTTGTTTAACCATTGAAATGCAACATGAGGAAAACTCCATTACCAGAGGGAAATCAGTGGAATGTTTTGTAGCATTATAGTAGTTTTCTTGCATTTCTGAGGCCTGTATAATTAATCATCCGTTTAGTACATATTAAAGGTGGAATAACAGGAATTAACCCATTTAAGGTAGCTCAAGTAGAATAAGTAATCGAACAGTATCCCATTAGGCCTTTTTAATAGGTAATATATATTGATTGTTGATATATTTAGAACTTTACTAGGATATAAGATTTTTTTATTGCACAGGAGTGCATTGTAGTCTAGTATAGCATAATATTTCAGAGTAAGGGTAAGTGTTCATTTGTCGAAACATATAGAAAACAAATTTGATTTAATTTAGTCCCATCTCTGATTTAATGAAATATGAGTGTTGATTTGATTATTACTTTTTAAAGATCATCATTATTTTATAAGTGGAGGTACTTTTGTTTTGTACAACTGTTAAGATTTGGACATCATCTCGTAATGAATATAGAGTATGGTTGATAAATATAAAATATATATTACATATTTTGAGAAACATGCAATTTACTCATAGAAGCCTAAACACAGGTAAGCCTTGTAATTTCTTCAAAGAAACATACATTCCCATCCATATTGTATATTAGAACTATTCTACACTTCTCAATTCTAAATTATTCCAATTTTCATACACATTAAAGATTTGCTTTTTATCACAATATTTACTTTATCGTTATGTGCATGTATTTTTGAATCTCATCTCACTGTCTCATTCTTTAGGGAAAGGTAGAC